GTACTGTTTGTTCTTTGAATTAAAGTGGCTGTAGCTTGTTGATAAGATTGTCATCAGTGCTGTCATGAAAAAGTTACAATTGGTCACAAAAAGTAGCAATATGCATGTTCTTGGTTTATTTTAAATGTAGTACAAATGTTGTTTATTTAAATTCAAATTTAATGATGATACCTAATGATCACAAGTGGTCTTAACCAATAACCATGTCCACAAGTGATAATTCTCAATTGTATTGCACTGTAAGGTGTACAATTATGTAGGATAAGGGTTTCATTGGCTACATGTTGTCGTGAGATCCATACAGATCATAGGTCCTCCACAAATTTTAGCCCGCTGGATCCACAGAGATCATAGATCCGACCCCTAAATTTTGTCGAGAGATCCATTCAGATCATAGATCCAACCCCTGAATTTTGTCGAGAGATCCACTCGGATCATAGATCCAACCCCTCTATTTTGTCGAGAGATCCACTGAGATCATAGATCCAGCTCTCGGATCCAAGCACATGTCTGGTAAGGGACGAGGATGTTCATTTCATTGCTTCGGTGACTCAAATCTAGCAGTCCTTCATCGGTCAGGCTTGATGGATCCACCGTCACTTTGCGCGGTACTTTTAAGACAGAATGTACGTGGGTACGGCCCTCCAGCAAAAGAGTGGTTGGTTAGCCTATGTGCTTTTGGTGTAATAACTTTGAATGACAGAGACACTCCTGTAAAATGACTCAATAGAAATGAGAAGAGGGTTCGTGCACACACTTCGGCAATGATTTTCAACAGCCATTAGACGTATTCATCAGTGCAGATCGCTTATTGTGATGTTGGCAACCAACCACTAAATATCTGGAGGGCCGTACGTCATCCCCGCCATGGAAATACGCCCAAGCGCAAGCTGACCTCGTTGACCAACGAGCACGGGTGTTGGAACACATTGCCTCATGTGACGGTTTCATCTCGGTGTTTACGGCTCGAAAACGGAGAACAGTGTAGATTGTGCGTTCGTGGCCGGTGATGACACGCACACATTTTGGTTGCTTTCTTCCGCCTCTGTTTTCTCATCCGAGCTCGTCGCAATCGAGAAGGCTTTGCTGTTATATCTAGGTATCTGACAGCTTTTCTTATCTCATTTTATCGGACTCTCTCAGCAGCCTGCTAACTTAACGGGGTTTTAATCTATATTCTTATTCTAGACAACCCGATAGTCCAAGACATTTTATTTCGACTTACTTCGGTGGAGCAGTCAGGCAAAGTTATTCAGTTTTGCTGGATTCCGAGCCATGTGGGCGTAACTGGCGATGGGCTTGCCGACACGGCCGTGAGACGCGCGGCGACAGCGACCGCGTTTAGAGCGATCTTTAGAATAGCGACACATGTTTAAGCGATTGTTTGAAACGGCGATTCGTATTAGAGCGACTTCAGAGGAACAACGACTATTCTAGGCTATTCGTGATTGGAGAAGTAAAACACAATGTCTTGCGAAGTAGGTACCTACATTTTTTATGCAAAATGCACTTGTTTCGCATTATTATTTACTACAAAATCTTAGTTTGGAGTCGCTATCGAAGTATATTTCGTAACATACTTACAGGTTCGTTTCAACTCAGTTGTATGGGCGCAAAATCCCCAGCAGTCGCCCTAAAGCTCCAATAAACAAACAACTCAGTTGTACATTCGTTTCGATGATGGTAAGTGATTTTTCGTTGACGTCGTTGATTTTTAAGTACAAATTATTTGCCAGCTTTCCCCGGTTGCGCCGGGATATCTGAGAGTTTCATATGATGTCCTGTTTTGCGAAACGAGTGCATTTTTCAAAGTATACTTCCCAAGAAATTGTCTTTTTTTTTTGCTTGTCCAATCCCCATTAGCCTAGAATAGTCGCTGTTCCTCTGAAGTCGCTTTGTTACGGATCGCCGAAGCATATTTCGTAACATAATTACAGGTTCGTTTCAACTCAGTTGTATGGGCGCCAAAATGAACCCAGCAGTCGGCGCGCCCTAGAGCTCCAATAAACAAACAACTCAGTTGTACACCGTAAACGGAGGTGACTTTGCCTCGCCGGGTGACTTTGCCATGCTTCTCGAAAAATGCTTTAGGGAGATCTCCCATGATATTTAACGAGGAATGTAGTAATGTTTTATGCACAAATGAAAGGTAATTGATGGGCCTCCCAATATAACTAACACTGATAGGTAAGTTACCACTAAATACCTAACTGGGCTCCATTTTATTGGAGTCATTGAAATGGTCAAATTTGAAGAGTTCCAAACTTTTTATTATCTAAACATGTCTTAGACCACCTGCGATGCTGAAGCTTGGTATGGTTAATTATGACAAGGCTGTTAAGTTAGCATATCCAACAAAACTGGCATTTGTCACTTCATTTAGCTAAAATTTTTGGTGGCGATTTTTCCAAGTGAATTGCAGGCCACATGGGGTGACTTTGCCACCATGTTATTTATGCAAAAATTGAATACTTATCCGATGCAATTCAAAATAATTTTTAATGTAGCATCATTTTGACCTCCAAACTGGTTTTTAAAAAAGTGAGAGTTTATACGTTTATAATTAGCACAGGAATGCACAGTGGGAGTATAGAAAGGCAAAAATTACCAAACTCAAAAAATGGATGAAGCTGGGCCCAACTTTTCAGCACAGTTATGATCATCTACAACTCCTGAGTTTGCCAGTAAGACTAGCTGAAGAAATCGGTATCATTTTATAGATCGAAACGCTGATAATAAGGGTGCCGGTAAGTTGCCGCAAGAACGTCTCCTTTCTGTTCCTCTGAATACCGCTGAAAGAAAGCGGCAAGGTCCTAGAGTACCGGTATAATCATAGTTCTGCTTATTTATCTATTCTGAATCATTTTTCAGTTTCTATTTACTATCAATGTCAATAATTTTCAACAACTATAATGTATTATTAAAGTAATGTATCTCTCCTTTTTTGTACATCATTTAAGAGCAAAAAACTTTGAATTGCTTCATTTTTTCCTATTAAACAATTAAAGATGGTTGCCCTCCCCCATACAATGGAACAAAAATGCTTAAAAATTATTTGCAAGCGTTAAAAACCATTTTTTGAATTAGTGGCAAAGTCACCCCTTTTTCAGTTTAACTTTGCCACGACTCATTTTCTTAAAAAATTATATTTTTAGGCAAGATATAAATACGATAATAGCAAAACCAAAAGAGCTAATCTTCATCCGTGTTTTGAACATAGAGTCATCTCAAGAAGTTAAGAAGTGTAAAGAATGCAAGCGTCTCAAGTTGAAAACATGGCAAAGTCACCCCCGTTTACGGCATTCGTTTCGATGATGGTAATTGGTAAGTGATTTTTCGTTGACATCGTTGATTTTTAAGTACAAATTATTTGCCAAGTTTCCCCGATTGCGCCGTGATATCCGAGAGTTTCATATGATGCATCCTGTTCCGCGAAACGAGTGCATTTTTCATAAAAGTATTCTTCGCAAGAATTTGCCATTTTTTGCTTTTCCATTCCCCATTAGCCTAGAATAGTAGCTGTTCCTCTGAAGTCGTTTTGTTACGGATCGCCGTTTTGGATAATCGCTCAAGCGTGTGGGTCGCTGTTCTAGCGGTGGCTCGAAATGCGGTCGCTGTTTTGAGTGAGTCGCTGTTTTTCTGTCGCTGTTCTAGAATCGCTGTTGTCCGAGTCGTTGTTTGACACGCACACCCCGCTATCCGATAGGTACCTACTGAGTACTGGGTGACGAGTCACCATGGGTTTTATCCTTCATTTTTTCCCTTTATCCGTTCAGTTAAATCCCAAGTGATTTACTCGACCGGACCGGACCCCAATCTATCTAGTCCTCTAGTCGTTACGTCTAATCAGTTGACTATCACTACACACTTTCGTTATTGTAACTTAAATTGTCCTGCCTTTAGGCTTTTCGTCTTTTTGCTTAGTCGGTTCTCTCTTCTGGCACACTTGTTTTTGTGAGGGTAACGTTATGGACGCAAAATGACCTTTGCTGTTGATGCGCCCTAAAGCCCCAATAAACAAACAAAAAAGTTTCAGCGCAATGGACCCAGTAATTGCCGAGTTACATATTGTAATTGCTACAAAACTGACACGTCTTCGTTTTCCACGTGGGACGTGCGTTAGGGGTCACCCACATGCATCGGGAATAGTCCAATACTTGGAAGAAGGGATGAGGCTCTCGTACAAAAAAGACCGCAAGTGAATTGGTCCATTGGTTGCGGAGATACAAGCCTTGCAAAACTTACCCATTGCATCGGCCGGTCGGCGTCCGGACGCCCACACTAATAGATTTCTGTCATTCTACGAAGAGCTCACCTCGCTCGCTTCCTCCGCTCGCTGGTTACCACGGACATCTTTGCAACATGCTATAAGTAAATGCAAATTAGTTCTCATATGCCCAAATTAATGCCAAGTTTGAAACTGGCTAAAAATATATCACGTGATCTTCGCGTGATCTTTGCGCCCATCAATGGGAGAAACGTTTTTTTTTTTTACGTGTTGACTCGTTTTTTTATCACAAATGTCTGGAAAGTAGAAACGCACCATAATGTGCTTGACATGCTTTCGTTTCATTATATTTTTTTAGGGTGATCGAGTGGTGTGAAGTTGAAAGAACAAGGGTACCTAAAGCGTCATCGCTATGCTTGCTTTTTTACGCGAGCTGTTCTTGAAAATGAATGAAAACCGAAAAACTTCTTACTTAAAGCGCGAAAGTGAACACTGATGAATGCCTCATTATATCCACTCGCTCGCTTCATTAGCTAGCGTTCATAAGACTTTGACGTTCTATTTCGAAGACGTTCTCTTTCACTTTTGGATGTTTGTTGCATATTTGAATAATTGATGTTTTATTTCAATTGCTATACCTAAAGTTGATGTCAATTGCTGCCGTTCTATTACGTCATTTTAAATATTTCACCTTAAGTAGCTGTCAAAAATGTGACTTTCTTTCGTGTCTTCATTTCTCCCATTTCACATGCATTGTTTGGATTTGTTTCAGGCATCCTCCGTCGACACTGATGGAGCTCGACTCGGCATTTGACTCTCCAGACTGGGGGAACGTGAAAGACTGGTACAAGGGATGTCCGATATCCGACCTCTGCTGCGTGCCAAAGGTTCCGGAGCCGCAACCCCTGACCCAGGCAGAAAAGGACGACTTTTTGAAAAGTATGATGGAAGCGTGCCCGGATTCGGTCCTAGCCATGCAACTTCGCGCAGGGGGGAGGTTTTCGTCACCGAAAACGAAGGGACGTGCAAGGCAACCCAAGAAAAGGCGCGCAGAAGATTTGAATGGTGGCAGTGAGTAGCGTGGCTGCCGCTGGCAAGTGGCTATGCCTAGTGGTCAATGTCTTTCGTATAACGTTCCACCGTTAAATGTCTCGCAAAGTGTCCTCTTTTTCTTAAATAAAATGACAAACTGAATCAAGTGATCATTTTCCGATTGGTCAAAGTGACGTTCAAGCACTAAGCGCTTTGGACTTTGGAGAGAGAACTGATTTATTGGTTTCTCATCATATATGGGTGTCCGTCAAAATTCGTGGAGATATGCTGTCCCACGATTTCAATAATGTCTCACGTCAATAAATGAGCTTATTTCAGCGTAACAAGATTTGGACATTTGATTGAAGAAAAAAATCATTGAAAAGGCAACAGCAAAGTGGCAAAAAAAATTGGACATCTTTCCAAAACCGTGCTTTCGTGTGCCTATGTATTTTAGCTTGTCCCACAACCTGCGAAAAAAATCTACAGAGCTGCTGTGTAGTTATTTTTAGAGATAATTGAGCGCGAGGGAGCGTTGTGAATAGCAAAAACATTGAAATTTCTCTTCATGGTTCTTATTTTTTGGGTATACAATGTAGCAAAACTGCACAACGCAAAAACGTCTGTCCCACGGTTTTTGGCAAACTTTTTTTCTGGGTCACGTTTGTTTCTGGGTCACGGTACTTAGCTCCTCATTCAAAGCATTACGGACCGGGTAAGCAGGGTCTGCAGACTTGCATATGGTCTTATCCCGCGAAGGCGCAGAGAGCGGGGGCGGAAACTGAAAACTGTCAGTTGGGCTGGGCGAACCCAGGGGAAATCATCTCCTGCGTGCCATAAGATTTCTTTATTCTTGGTCACACGCCCTTGTGGTTTGTGGCTGGTAAGTGTCGAAAAGAATCACAGTGTCGTGTTGCTGCGTGCTCAGGTACTCCAGATAAGATGTACTTGGAGATTAGTATTCGATAACAAACTTGCCATATTCGGAAAACTGTAAAGCCCATTCCCCTGGGTCACGCATTTTTTTCTTCTGGGTCACGAATTTTAGCGTGACCCAGGAAAAAAATTGTGACCCAGAAGAGAAATTCTGCCCACCTACATCATCAAGACATGCAAGTATTTCCACCTACGTGTGGAGAAGGTCATTGCCGATAAGGGGGTTATATCGCGCATGAGGTGAGTGAACGTATCTGGTTTGATAATGCGTTACCCAGAAGAAATTTTTTTTTTCTGGGTCACGGACCATTTTACGCGCATGCGCAATGGCATTTTTGAATAATTTCAACTGTGAACAGCCTATGGTGCATGGTTTATGAAAAGGTAATGATTTCTAGGAAATCAGTTGTGGGACAAATATCGACCCAAATCTCCACGAATTTTGACGGGTACCCATATCGTATCTACGCCAGTTCACGTTCACCATGGACAACGCACCATATTTCCATTCCTCCACTGATCTCGTATCCTCCCGGTTGGTGAGTTTGTGGGCGGCGGTCGCCTCGTGCCAGCGTCTGCAGCGCCCGCAGGCCCCAGGGGACGTCCACTCTGGCGGCCGCGCTCTCTCCCGCCAGTCATCTCGGCTGGGCCCAGCGGCGGGTGGTCGGGGCGGTGGGGTCGGAGCTCCAGTTCAGTGGTCGTACCGTGATCCGCAGATGACGCCGAGTGATAAAGGCCTGGACGTAAGATCTGCATACCACTGACCAAGAACTACTTGATATGAATACTAGATCGAGTCGTGGGGCGCAGACCATAGACAGTCGTCACATGTTTCACCATCACGTAACATACGCGTCTCAGCTAATTCCACGAATATATTTGCGGCATAGCCAAGCCGTTTATATTCCACACGGGCCGGGATACATGGACAATATTCAGGTCTCTTTGCCGCCGAAGACAGAACACCGACGACAAACGGCATATGTGAACACTGACAGAGAGAACGTTCTGGGCCCTGCTTCACGACTTGACACTAACTGTTGCTACCGGTATCGTGGTATGGGTTTCCATGGAAACCCAATACCACGATGCCGCTAACGTTAGGTAGCGTCAAGCCTTGAAACAGGGCCCTGGTCGTCAGAGGTCGCTTTTCAAGTCGCCATCGAGAAATACTGGCAGAATGAGACAGCATCATGGCGTGGGGGAATTCGCATGTAAGAACAGCTCAACCTAACATCTTGATCCGCTGAAACGTTCATGAAAATGATTAGATTTGAATGCGGATTGCAGATAGTTAGTAGGTATGACGAATGATTTTAAAATAGGGCACATTTAACTAATACATTTGTGTTTGTGTATCTATTGCCGGCAGATCGTTCGATGAGTAGGTAGTAAAGACAATCATTTACAAAGCACCTCGGAACATAGTCAAAAGTCATGTTATACGTACACAATTCACGTACACTAAGCGACATAAACGGGACTTCAGGCAAAAATTCAAAGCGAATTAATATATTTTTCATCGAGGCCATGAACTTTGACATGCTTAAGTACGCCACTGGATCGATGCCCTTGGAATGATCATTTTCAGTGCTGTTATAATGGTTACTTGGAATGACGGCTAGGACAGTGAAAGATGTAACTACTGTGTGTAGTCCCCCCAACACCACTGGTCACTACACACATCCGAACAAAGTTCTCTCACTCCGCTCTGTATTCAGATCACTGTATGCCAGCGGCCAACCGCCCACGGCGCCTCGGAGCTCCAATTTGGCACCTCGTTTGATGCTCGGCTTTTCAGAACAGATGAAGCACATGCAATTGACCTGGACTGGAGCTGTCGAGGCTGGCGCCATCAGTAGTGGCACAGGTCCAAGCCAAACTGTTGGCCGTATGGGTAGATAGAGGTCGTGTGGGTAGACCGATTCAATAGAGGTCGCAGATCCTTCTGTTTCCGTTTCCGAACCAGGGAGATATCAGACTGCTGAGGAATGTTGTCATTTTGTGAATTACTTCCGCATAGGGTCAGGCTTCACGCATTTAGGTAAGAATTGACTCGGATCGCCTATTCACAGCAAGTGACTCGAAGATAATTCGTTTGAATATAATAATGAACAACCGTTCATTTTCAATGACTAGAACGCCTGCTTAATGACTAGAATTCGTTACACCCCTTTGGGACAGATGTGGATAATCTCACCTCCACTTGCACCCGACGTTAGTGTCGCTACCTACATTTGTGCTGTGCCCAAGCATATGTCTCGTTATCACCGCTCGACGCGCCGAAAACGGCCGTCGTATCACGCCCCGCGATCACAACCATGGTACTTGCATCGTGCCAACATTCTCCCCCCGTCGCGCCTTGAGATCAGCACACGCATACCGCATCACCAGTGAGGTGCACATGCAGTGGTCGCCACGCGGTACATGCACCCTATCCAGGAACAGCCCCGAGGGGCTCACTGCGCCGAACATACAGAGACAGCGAAGGCGGTATACTGATTGCCAGAATCACTGAGAAGTCGCCTCTGTCGAGCCGTGGCGACTCAGTAGCTGCACAAGTATCAACATCCACCGCGAGGATTGTTCACCCACTACGCCAGTCTGCCACACCGCCCCAACGCGCCCGAGACCAGCATCAATCAGCCTGCGTGACACAAAGCGTAAGGCAAAATCGGAGAACACCGTCAAAAGCGGATAAGCCTCACACACGCGACCGACCACCCAGCAGACCGCCATCCTGCCGGGTTTCGCCGGGGCTGAAGGGTGAACCTTGGCATCTCACATCTACAGTTGCCGCAGAGCTGTGCTGATTGGACAGGGACAATGACTCTAATACTAATCCTCTCTTAACTCTGTCTTTGGGGACGTCCATGACGCACTCACTCGGGTTAATGGCATCCAACAGCTACTATCGAGCGGCGAGCGCGGAGAAAAGCACAAAACACTAGGAGGCGCGCGGTGGGCAGGTCGGATCTCGGTTGGACACGCTTTGGCTGCGCTCCCTCCACTGTGAACGCTGGCATTTCGACCTGCCGGGGTCACGGGAAGGCGTCCTGGTTCGGGGCTAGGCTGTTCACTGCCGGCGGTGTGTCACTGTCAGCCGCGAGGACGTCATGTCGCGCGGCTGAGGCGGCACCCCCCAGACCGGTGGTCCGTCCCGGTCCGTCTGGTCCGTCCCTGGTCAGCCAGACGACTCAGTGGCAAACGGACAAACTGCGGCCTCCAGAGATGTGCCGGCGCCGACTCTGCGTCGATCTGCGACAAAGAAGCGTTCGACGATTAGCGCACATATCATTGTGTCAATTCCATTCCATCGAAGGAACGTGGGGTAGGCTCGCCTTTCACTACTAGGCAGGCACATATGACTTCACAGTTACTCTCACGAGCCCTCACTTCACCTTCCCTTTCTGAAGTGAAGTGATATTGTAGCGCAAGGTCTCGAAATTCACTGTGTTGCTAGGTATTTAGTTTCAGCGATTTAATCCATACATACCTGATCTGTCCAGCCAGCAGGGGGTTCATGGCATAGAGCCACTCGTAGAGGTCACTGGCGGGCTCCTTGGCCACCGACCGGAGCAGGTACGTCCGGTGCTGCGTCACCACTCTGGAAACCACACGGTACTCTGTCAGTTGGATACACCCAAGGCTCTCTACAGCATGGGCTAGTGGTCATTGGAGACATTTAAGGTCGATGAAAATGGCTGAACAATCGTCGTCTAGTGTCAGTTGTATGTGATGCATGAAAAAACATCCATATTCAAAGCAGGAACCCTCCGTGGAATGGCCGACGGTTCCGCCACGGACCTGAAGGAGTGCGGGGTGTCGTGCGGGTCTTCGTCGCTGTATTCGATCTGCGACCTGGCCAGGTTGATGAGGCTCCTCTCCACCGAGTCCTTGGCGTCGCGGTAGACGAAGACGTACGGCCTACGCACCACCTGTCCGGCCGCAAGGGAGGTCACCGGTAACGGGAGGATTATAGGACGGTACAGAACAAATCCAGCACGAAGATCGGCACAATCCAGCACCTGTCGTAAGGGCTGTCGTAACAATAGCACCGCGATGGGCTAGAATGAGGCTGGTGATTTAATGTTGTACTTTTGGGAAGACTTGGGCATACGCAATAGTAAAGAAGGTTCACACCAATCAAGTGTATCACGGATGTAAGGGCTCAGTCCATTTCGAGCAGCCTGGTCCTTGCTCGCCGAGTTCCGTGTACGCACCAGCCAGCGTTTGAGCCAGGTCTGCGTGTGCTCCTCGTAGACCTGCAGGGGCCCGCGGCGACTGACGGCCGGAGAGACGCGGATCTCCTCCAGCTCGGCGCAGAAGAGCGGCGGTGACGGTGGCTGGGCGGCGCGCGGCTCGTTCGGACCGCGCACCACGCCCGGGTGGGTGTCCGGCAGCAGTGCCGAGGAGGGGCTCAGGGACCTGTGGAGGAAGGGGCGGGTCAGAGACCTGTGATGGGACAGGATGACGAGCTGTTTGACAGCAGTGCAACAGGCTCAAGAGACTCTGGTTGGACGAAACTAAGAACAAAACTATGTTCTAGAAACGGAGAGCGGGCTAAGAAGACCAGTGGGAAGAGTGAGACAGGTTAAGACATCTTTCATATGCCGACACGCGGGCTTCTAAATCTGTGGCAGTGTAGCCGACGAGCTCAGAACTGATGGGAGTGATTAAGCCTGCGAGGAACTGGCGTAATCTTACCATGTTGTATCGGTAAGGTAGGATATACTACCGTAGTATGTTGAGTCGTGAGGACATACGTATTAGACTCCCTCGCTCCTCCAGCTCGAAACAAAATGGAAAAAATCAGTCTGTGTCCCGAGTTCAGCTTACGATGTCATTGAGGAGACGTCTGTGATGTCAGAGGACTCCATCTCCGACTCGTGGTTGCCGTTAAACACGGTCGACGTCTCAGAAATGTCCTGCAAGGATCGCATGGCAAGTGTGAGAATCTAAGCCCATATACCTACGGTCTTACCGTTTCAGCTTTTTGCGACTGTTCTTTTTTAGATCCATTAGACCTCGTAAAACAGCTGAGTCCGTATCAGAACTAGTTATGCTATTGAAATTTGGTACAACTGTGATGATCGGTTTTGTAATGCACGCACACTTTCCGTTTACGCCGAACTCTCGAATTTGTATGTACCTATACGTTCATGAACATAGAGAGGAGGCAGTATCTTCCATCTCCCTTGCACGCCCACATCCCATACCCCTCACTCCACCACCCCGCTCACCTTTTCAGTGCGTCCCAGGATGAGGCTGATGTACTTTTTGGCCAGGTAGCGCTCTCGCTCGGTCATGGGCCGGCTCTGGGTGTCGGCGGCCGCCGGCGGTGACCTCAGCGGGCCCGGCGAGCGGCCCTCGCCGGCCGCCTTGGCCGCCTGGTTACACTCGTCCTGCGGGGAGACACACTGCCAGGGCGCGTGGCAACGAGGCGGCGGTGAGGTGGACGGCACGGGACGTGGAGCCGCGAGCGAGATACCGTCCTACAGGCGCGCACACAAACGCACACAGACATACAGGGTGCGCTGTCCCGCGCACAATCTCACACAGACCAGCCCGTACAGATATACATAAAAGAGAGAAAAATGTGTCACTCGCTACAGCTACAGAGGTGCCAGTGCGACGAGCATAGCTGACTACGGTGTCAGAGTTGGTTGAACGGTGAACAGAGTCAGCCGGCCGTCTCGTTGGCTACCACACGTTCTGATTAGTGAGGCTTCAGAGTGAATGATATGAGGTATAGATCGTATTGAATGAAACCAGGGTGCTCATCTGGAACACAAGCACATCTGCATGCAGAAGACACGTGTATTTTCTACAGGAAGCAACAAAAGGGCCCACCGTGCTTCCATGAGTTCCAGCTGATACGGCTAGACAGCCTCATGACTACATACATAAAGGAAAGGGACTAACATTTACTCATCCTCCGGAGTCCGGAGGCCGCACTAGGGCACATTTCTGGTAGTCAGTCCTCGGACCCGGCCCTGCCCTCACCTTCTCCAATTTGCTGATCTCCTGGTGCGGCAGCCCGGCGCCGTCCAGGCCCAGCTTCTCGCGCAGCATGAGCAGGTGTCTGACCCTGCCGACCTCCTGCAGCCGCGTCAGCTTCTCCAGCTCCCACTGGTGCTCGAACAGCAGACTGTCGCCGCGCGGCCGCCAGCCCTCCAGGTTCTCCTCGCCGCGCACGTAGGTGGCGCTGGTGTCGAGCACGCGCCGCTGACGCCGGCTGGCACCTGCGGTAACGCGGCGGTACCTCAGCTGCAGGCGCTCATATAGGTCGTGATCTATCTGATTAGCGCTGGCTCGTGGTGATGGGAAGCTTACGAGTATTCAACTGGAATTACAAGAGACCCCTGCCGACCCTTACCATTTACTCTCCAGACATGCTTTGCACATTCGTATAGTAGTTGTGCCTGCTCCTTAGCCCACTACTCGCTCCCCTGGCCGCCTCACCTATGCCCTTTGTTCCCACCCTGCCCGGGCTGCATCTGTGTACCGTAAACGGGGGTGACTTTGCCTTGCGGGGTGACTGCCATGCTTCTCGAAAAATGCTTTAGGGAGATCTACAGTGATATTTTACAAAGAATGTAATAATTTTTTATGCACAAATGAAAGATAATTGATGGGCCTTCCAATATAACCCACACTGAGAGATAAGTTACCACTAAATACCTAACTGGGCTTCATTTTATTGGAGCCATTGAAATGGTCAAATTTGAAGAGGTTCAAACTTTTCATTATCTAGCCATGTTTTAGACCAACTCCGATGCTGAACCTTGGTATGGTTGATCATAACAAGATTGTTAAATTGGCATATCCAACAAAATTGCCATTTGTCACTTCAATTATCTAAAATTTTTGGTGGCGATTTTTCCAAGTAAATTGCAGGCCACATGGGGTGACTTTGCCACCATGTTATCAATGCAAAAATGAAATACTTATGCGATGCAATTCAAAATAATTTCTTAATGTAGCATCATTTTGATCTCCAAACTGGTTTTTAAAAAGTAAAAGTTTATATGTTGAAAATTAACACAGGAATGCACAGTGGGAGTATAGAACGGCAAAAAATACCAAAATCAAAAAATGGATGAAGCTGGGCCCAACTTTTCAGCACAGCCAAGATAATCTACAACTAGGTACTGAGTTTGCCAGTAAGACTGGCTGAAGAAATATGTACCATTTTATAGATCAAAACGCTAATAATAAAAGTGCCGGTAAGTTGCCGCAAGAACGTCCACTTTCTGTTCCTCTCAATGCCACTGGAAGAAAGCGGCAAGGTCCAAGAGTACACTGTAAAAAATATTGACGACCTATGTGTTAAAACAAGGGTCTCGAAACAGTCACCAGGTTGTCAATGCTTCCGGTACCTACCACTTGATTAGTTACCGCTTAGTTAGCTTACAGGCTGAGAACTATCCAGATCGTTATGATCCGGTATTGTAATGATACCCTAGGTGTACCTTTGTTTTGAAGTGCTGAATTAACTATCAAGGTTGTTCGACGTTTGTTTTCGCCTCAATCCGAAACGAGGAAGACCCTCATCAAATTATTAGGTGAAAGCCAGCCTCAGGATGATCAAAATACTAGGGGTAGTTTTGTCATAGTAATCTGTGAAGGGTGCGGAACAAGCCGTAGCAATGCACTCGTCACTAAACCAGCCTGAGATTATTCGCCAGGTAGCTGCTGCGTTTCCCTACTTGCTGAATCATGTTTGCAACTTTCCATTTCCAGACACTTTTTACGGCAAATAAATTGTTGGGTTATTTGGAAGGTGAATGACAATTTTATTTCTATAAGTCAATACATTTGTATTTCCGATTGCCCTAAAACTTTTTTTTTAATCGTTTGCGGTAGGTTTTTATTGTTCGCAATAAAGTTGCGCACCTGTGAATCCTTCACTTAAGCCCGGTTCTGACTGCCGTTTTTCGATCGTTTGGTGGATCGTATGGTGATCGTATCGTGATCGTATGGTGATGGGATGGGGATCGGCACGCCCCTTTCCCGATCGCCGCGATGGTAATCGTATGTGTGCAGTGAGAACCGGGAAAAAACGTGACTGTGCGCGTGGTTCGGTAGCGGCAGATCGTACGTCGTAGTGCGTTCCGTCGAAAGATGGATTGAGTTTATCTTTTGCCTTGATCGTATCGTACAGTTGACATCGTGTGGGGAACTCGCTGTGCTGCAGCTTTCCTTGCTGCTGTCTTGTGGAAGGTTTGTGCTAACATATTTGATATAACTTATCTTATTAGTAGCATACTTTAAATAAATCACGGTGACTATAAATAAATAAGCTTGATTGACATACTTATAATCAAATTAGGTACTTCCACTTAGAAGATACCATACGAAAAATCATTGATTCGTTCAGGTGCGTCAATTATACATCAAAGTATTAATTTTATTGCACGAAAAAGCCTTACCCGATAATGTTAATTTGATACTTAAATTAAGAAATGTTTTAACTACATTTAACCTCTTTTTAAGTCTGAAAAGTATTAATTTCCCTCTTTATAGATCTCGTCCCGTTCATGGCGGCCAATCAACGCGCTTCCCTCAGATGACGTCATCTGTGCGCCTGCGCTCTGCCGAGCCGGCAAGCCTCGTGGTGACCGGCGATTTACCGGCGACACTGGAGGTGTACATAGATATCTTACCAATGAATTCCTGTCAATTTCAACGAACCGATTTTCAAGAAAACCGATGCACAGCATTCACAATACTCACTTTTAGGTTGTAGGTTACTTTCCAGGACAATTTGACATGATTTTCTATTTTTCCACGCATTTTCAAAATTGCGTACCCTCCACGGCCGAGAATGGTTTCCGCCGCCATGCTGCTCCAATCAAGCCGAAATGTTGATTAACTTCACGGAATAGTCAGAGCCGACTACTCAAACTAAATTATTGAATTAGAGAGATGTTTTAAACTACATTTAACGTCTCTTCAAGCGTAAAAAGTATTTATTTCGTTCTTATCTATCACCGCCGGCAGTAATGGCGGACGCAGACTCCCACACGATACGCACGATCCGCACGATACGATCTACCAGTTACCAGATCGTATCGGGCCTAGAGATTTTCATCTTTTTCCGCCAGCCACGCTCACCATACGATCACCATACGCTTACCATCCGCTCCGATCGATTTCGGCAGTCAGAACCGGGCTTTAAAGGGACCCTCCCACCTTCAAAAAAGTTTATGAATTGGCATGAAAGTGATGTCGCTCGGTTCAGAAAGAGCGAAAACGAATATCTACCAAATTTCACCGAAAAATATTCACCGGTTTTCAAGATATTAGACTTTTACTTTTGTTTACTTTTTGGGATCTCCGCTGTTCCTAGCGACTTTATTTAAAAGTGCGGCATTTGTTGCGCGCAACGCAGCATATACCACCGCGTGCTACAAAACGTTTTAGTCAAACATTTAACGGACGTTCGAAAGCCTGATGACGTCATCAGAATCCCGTAATGGTTAAGAGATAGGGACCACGCTGGTCCCACCCTGCAAGTAAAGGGAAGAAATTTCTTGAACACCATAAAGCTGCGGGGGTTGCGACCAGGATAAATGGTGGTTTCTGAGCCTGGCCGCAAACTTGGCTATCTCAACTCAAAACTAATGTTAAGGTGGGAGGGTCCCTTTAATGCGTTCCCGGCTTACCCGGCGCCGGTTGCGCCGTGTGCCGTGCCGCGTCCGGTCGGGGGTGCGTGCGTCTGTGAAGTGCGAGTGTTTATCACTGGGCAAACCTGTATCGTTTCCATTTGTGCAGTGGCTAGTTATGAAGAATTGCTGTCCGATATATGACCTGCAGTGATCGACGTTCTGATTCAATAACTTGCCATAAGCCATTTATTCTCAACTAAATCGCGCAGAGACGTTTGCAAAGTTGTCGTGGGGGGGGGGGGGTGGGAACAAGAGCGATTTTAAATGAATTGCTCTCCATGCAGTGCAATAGGACTTAGGTTTGATTTTTTCAAAAGTTGTGGAGCCGCCCCCGGTGTCCGGCCTGGCCAACTCTCTCAAGAACCGACAGCTAACGGAACACTGAAGATTCACTACGACGATTTCCGCCAAAGTTATGAAGAAAAGGCAAGTGCAAGAAGTACAAAACTTCTCTTGGTAATCAAAACTTAGGTTTGGCAAATTCCAAACCCTAAGTCACTACAACTGTGGATATAAATAAGCTGGTTATTGACGGCCAAGCTCTGGCCAATCTGAGGTTCAGACCTATCATCAAGTTCATGAGGCAGCTGCGGTTGGGCGGCTCACGGGCTCCACTGCATAGGCTCAGACAGGTACTCTACAAAATGTCTTCTGTGTTCTTAGGTTCAGATCTATCGATATGTGCATGCTTCTGATTCGATTGATAACTGTAAACGGGCGCTGGAAGTGAAATGTTCGCTTGATATACGAAAGGTGCATTGCAAGAAAGCACATTATTTCAGAAATACACTTTTATTTTATCTTGAGCGTTTTTGGAATGGGCCGGATGAATTCGTCATCAAACCGGTAAGGGATTTCGTTTGAAGACCACCGATATTTAAGAATATGATGGTCTTCAAACGAATTCGCTGGCAAATTCGATGACTGGATTGGGCGGCGTAGGATATGCTGGTCATCTGACTATGGGTTGATTAGGGCCTAGTTGGGGGGTTCGTCGTGGGGTTCAAATGTATAGCAATACGTTAGTTTTGACCTAGTTTGGGCTTCATTCGTTAAGTAGGAACAAGACGGTGCTTCTTTTGAACATCGTCACTAAACAAGCCGCCCTCGTTTTGACATTGTTTTTCGCTATTATTGTTACTAGGTACTTTGTTATCACACACAGCATTAACGAGGACCTGCTTCCAAAACAAGGCAGAAACGCTCCAGCTATTTTTGGGACGTGGTAAAAACTAACCGACACCTGGTAACTGTCATCTGACGAACACAAAACAAGCCAGGGGCTCGCAGCGTGTGTCAAAAGTAGGATGCAAAACTAGTCTGTACCCCCGACATTTAGCGTTGAGAATCATTTGACGAGGGGCTAGTCAATATTTTTTACAGTGTACCGATACAATAATATTTTTCCTTATTTATCTGTTCTGAACCATTTCTCAATTTCTATTCACTATCAAGTGTCAATTATTTTCAACAAATATAATGTATTATAAAAAGTAATGTATCTCTCCCTTTTTGTACATCATTTAAGAGCAATAAACTTCGAATTGCTTTATTTCTTCCTATTAAACAATTAGGGATGGTGGCCCTTCCCCATACAATGAACAAAAATGTTTGAAAAATATTCGTTAGTGTTAAAAAAACATTACTTGGCATGGTGGCAAAGTCACCCCTTTTTCATTTTAACTTTGCCACGACTCATTTTCTTTAAAAATTTATATTTTTAGGCAAGATATAAATACGATAATAGCCAAACCCATAGAGCTAATCTTCATCCGTGTTTTGAACATAGAGTCATCCAAATAAGTTAACAAGTTTAAATAATAGGGGAGAGTGGGGTGGGTTGTATCAGTTTTTACTCCGAGACCCATAACCTCGTAACTATCCGTGATAAACTCATTATTTCCATACTATCTCCTTCCTTGATTCTTCTGCTTTTTTGTGCAAAGTAACTTTTCCGCTACCTCTACCAGTTTTTCTGCTACGGTCTGCCGAATAGAACAATGTTTTTGATACAACTTGCCCCATGGCTTGGGTGAGTTGTATCACATGGTGGGGTAATTTGTATCACTAGGTATTTCACGTTTCAGGGAGTGTGCTTGCTACTGGTTTTGAACATAACAGCAACATTAAATGGTATTAATACAATGTATATGCTCAAAGGCTTCACTTTTATTAGACCAAGCTTAGGTCAATGCAATCCGAACGAAACATCGAAACGGACGAAACATTAACAGACTAGATGCAAAAGTGGCCCGTTAAGAGCAAAAAAGCCAACACATTGTGCCGAAATGGAACGAGTATTGACTAGCTACCTACAAACGCGAGACAGGGCTTAGCTTTCGCGATCAAAAGCAACATACCCATACATTCATACACGTTACAACATACCCCACCCGGCTCTGATACAACATGTACCTCGCCGCCATCTTGGAAAAAAACATGCTCGTGCTCAAAAACAGCGGACAGCTGGAGAAATCCATTTTCACTCACGCAGCCTTAGAACCTACCCTCACCATGGCTACGGAGATCTTTCAAATTCGTGCACATCTAAATGCCCAAAACACACATTTTCTTGCAACTCATTTTTTTTAGAATGACATTAACAAAACATAAAATCGGCTCTCAACTCGAGACGCGTCCACCCAGCCACACGACAGAACAGGGAAAGATGGCGCCCGGAAAACCTCGTCGGCTGGTCGTGTCACGAGCGCTATCTATTGGATAAGTTTGGCACAATTCGCCCTGATACAACTTGGACATGATACAACTCTCCCCGCTCTCCCCTACAAGCGTCTAAAGTTGAAAACATGGCAAAGTCACCCCCGTTTACGGTACCCTCCGTTCCATCCCCTGCCCCATATGCCCTCTGTTTCTGTCCCTGTCTGCCGCCTCCTGTGCCCTCTGTTCCTACTTCCTTCCCTGTCCGCCGCCCCTGTGCCCTCTGTTCCCTCCCTCTCCCCTGCTCCCTCTGTTCCCACCTTGCCCACCTCACCTGTGTCCTCTGTTCCCTCCTTCCCCACCTCACCTGTGCCCTCTGACGACCGCCGGCTGCTCAGCTCGTAGACGGCCGTCACGCGGTTGGCGTCGCTGCCCTGACCGCCGCCCAGCAGCAGGTGCCGGAAGGTGCGCGGCGCAGTGCGCGCGTGCCGCCCGTACACGGTCATACACAAGTCCTTGGTGATGATGGCCGGCTGGACACAGGACGACAGCTGCCGAACGGCGGACGGTCATCAGCTCAGGTGTAGGGCACTTTGTAAGTTTGCAGATGTTGCAAGTATTCACTGGAGATTTTATGCCTTTCAGCAAGCGTTTGCGCACTCCAAAACAGAAAAAAAGCTATAGAACTCCATACCAAACAGATGACAATCCTTTGCAACATCCGTCGGTGGGCACAAAAAGTGACGTGTCACATTTGCGTAAACATTGAAAACCGCGCCGCATTCCCGCGCGCATCCTGTTTGTCCCGCGTATTGACGTTGATTGCGCATGTTTGCAGTCAGCACCAGTCACAGTGCTCAAAGTGGAGGGACTGATACTGCACTTAAAACAGCACCGAACCTGCAATTACAATTACTCGCGGCATAAAGCATTCCGATCGAAACGGACTTCCGCTACGAGTCGTATACTGGGGTTCCGTGCTAGGACCGCTCCAGTTTGGGGTCTGCGCTCAGTCCGAGCGTTTGGAGAGTGTGTAGATTTCGTTCAGAAACAATCCCGTTTTGTTTCACCATTATGAGGCTTAAAGTTGTTCTCCTTATTGCCATTTTAAGTTCAGTTTTAATGTCATGCGTGGAGGGAGGCAGAAGAGACGGTCAGAGAGGCAGAGGCTACGGGAGAGGTCGAGGGGTTGGGAGATGTCAGGGACACGGCGGGAGAGGTCGAGGACGTGGCTGCGGCTGCAGCGGAGGACACACCAGCGAGGGGACAACTACACCAGCAACGGTAACGACATGTTAAAGAGATGGGTGGAAGCGTGGTCGGTGTGCTTGCTAAGAACGTGTTGATGTTGAATCAGCTGTTTTATTTTTACGTATTAGGTACTTAAAATGTTAGACCAAATGACATGCGTGGTAAAGGGGTTCTCGCTAGAATTGACCAAGTGTTAAAATGGTCTTTTACCATTAAAGGAAAATAATTGATTAAATAATTATGTAGAGAAACTAAACATGAACCCATCAGTCATCGCGTTTGCACGAGTTCATGAAAGATGCATACGGCGCCTTTGTCATTTACTAGGTAGGTATGTCGTTTATCAGCGTGTGCGGCTCAGAACTACTAGACTTCTTTTGACTTATAGGTCCTATGGATGACGAAAGTTTTGAATTGCATGCTTTGAGTTGATTGCCTCATAATACACTTGGAATTGTCCTGAGTTGACAGACAACATTAATTGGTTTCAGGTGTCCGCGTGCAACTGGGATGATGCTAAGGAATGTAATGGTAAGAAAAAGTCGGACCAGATGGGACACAGATGATGCCATGTGCCGTTTATTTATAATGTCATCGCCAACGTTGAGCGTTCATTAAAAACAGCAACTAGTTAGCACATGGCCAAAGGCGTCTGTCAAGGGTGTCTTGAAAGTAATATGTATTTGTTCTGACGGGTCAGATGAGAGTTGATCTTGTACATGGTACTAGGTACTTACTATCTAATATCTCAAATTGGGCCTTGATTATTGAATTGGCGCTAATATCTCAAAGCAGGCCTTAAACTGCGCCCCGTATGGCTATCGGCGGACCCTACCACCCGTAAAGGTCAGGCCACACTCACAGGTCACCAGGTCAGGTCACAGGTCAGGCCACTGGGGTCACAATATGAAAGTGTCGTGTGATGCATGTTTATGGTCCATTTTACATGACAAATACGATTATGTGGGTCAGGCATCCTTTGGGGTCAGTTTAAGTTATGTTCTGGTGAAGGTCAGGTCAAATTAGGTTTACTTTCAAAGGTGATATTTTTTTACATAAAATGGGTATTGATGCAATACAGCTCGTCAAGGGGAGTCTAATGGTGGTTTTGTTTTGCGCTGTGAGGTCTAGAATTGCCAAAAATGAGTTTGAAAATTTGATGTCATTATTTTTGAACTTTTTTTCGCTATAACTTGGCCAAAAAAGAGATATTGATCTTGAATTTGGTATGTGGATAGAAGACGTTAGGTACTATTCATATATATTCCGTTTTTTCGAAATTCGAAAAAAACTGGTTTTTTTTTTGCTATTATAGGCACCCAAAACATCTTTTCTTATTTTTAAGGGTCAAAATCCAGAAAAAATAAATCCGAGATAGCAGCTTCATAGCCCTGTCAATTTCAATCTTTTTTGTCAAAACATTTTTCTGTGTCTTCAAAGCTGTGGGCGTGACAGTCTTCTCGCGAAATCTTTTTTTAGTCGAAAACTAGAGGGACAGCATTACGCGCAGCGTAATAAATCAATTTTCAATAAAATCGGCCCAGTAGCGGGCGAGTTATGGCCAGAATAAATTTGGCGTCTCCTCCTGGCCGGCGGTGCTCTGTTCCGGTATTCATTGCCAAAGGTCAGTGACCTTCCGGCTCTGATTTCGCTCAGTTTTGCAAGCGAAGAAACTGAGCCTACGGCGCGTGCTCTCTGTTCGGAGCCGGCCGCGGCCCAAAATCCCGCAAAGATGCGCCCGCCACGTGCAAACCGGCGAGCGCACCCCCACCAAAATTTAATACGACAAACAGATGCACGCGTCCGACTTACGTCGAAAATTTCACCCCCGTAGCCCGCACCGTTCCACAGCAATAGCCCGCCAAGCGTGACGGACGCGTTACATACGGACATTTTGATTTTTATATATGTAACTAGAGGGACAGCATTACGCGCAGCGTAATAAATCAAGTTTTAATAAAATCGGCCCAGTAGCGGCCGAGTTATTGCCAGAATAAATTTGGCGTCTCCTCCTGGCCGGCGGTGCTCTGTTCCGGTGTTCATTGCCAAAGGTCAGTGACCTTCCGGCTCTGATTTCGCTCAGTTTTGCAAGCGAAGAAACTGAGGATAATGCGCGTGCTCTCTGATCGGCGACGGCCGCGGCCCAAAATCCCGCAAAGATGCGCCCGCCACGTGCACACCGCTGTACGCACCCCTCGAAAAGTTGATACGACAAACAGATGCACGCGCCCGACTCGGCGCGAAAATTTGAACCCCGTAGCCCGCACCGTTCCGGAGCAATAGCCCGCCAAGCGTGACTGACGCGTTTCATACAGACATTTTGATTTTTATATAAGTAACTAGGTGCCGAGCATTACGCGCAGCGTAATAAATCAATTTTCATTCAAATCGGCCCAGTAGCGGGCGAGTTATTGCAAGAATAAATTTGGTGACTCCTCTTGGCCGGCGGTGCTCTGTTCCGGTATTCATTGCCAAAGGTCAATGACCCCCAGCGATGTTTCCACTCAGTTTTGCAAGCGAAGAAACTGAGCCTAAGGCGCGTGCCGTCTGTTCGAAGCCGGCAGCGGCCAAAATTCCGCAAAGATGCGCCCGCCACGTGCAAACCGGCGAGCGCACCCCCACCAAAATTTTATACGACAAATGGTTGCACGCGACCGACTCGGCGCCAAAATTTCAACCCCACAACCCCCACGGTCTCCGCGCAACAGCCCGCCAAGCGTGACTGACGCGTTACGTACAGACGTTTTGATTTTCATATAAGTAACTAGGTGTCCAGCATTACGCGCAGTGTAATAAGTCAATTTTCAATAAAATTGGCCCAGTAGCGGCCGAGTTATGGCCAGAATAAATTTGGCGTCTCCTCCTGGCCCGCGGTGCTCTGTTCAGGTATTCATTGCCAAAGGTCAGTGACCTACCGGCTCTGATTTCGCTCAGTTTTGCAAGCGAAGAAACTGAGCCTAGGGCGCGTGCTCTCTGCTCGGCGCCGGCCGCGGCCCAAAATGCTGCAAAGATGCGCCCGCCACGTGCACACCGCTGCACGCACCCCCTCGAAAAGTTGATACGACAAACAGATGCACGCGTCCGACTTGCGCCCAAAATTTCACCCCCGTAGCCCGCACCGTTCCACAGCAATAGCCCGCCAAGCGTGACTGACGCGTTACATACATACATACATACGGACGTTTTGATTTTTATATATGTAACTAGAGGGACAGCATTACGCGCAGCGTAAAGAGGGACAGCATTACGCGCAGCGTAATAAATCAATTTTCATTGAAATCGGTCCAGTAGCGGCCGAGTTATTGCCAGAATAAATTTGGCGTCTCCTCTTGGCCGGCGGTGCCCTGCTCCGGTATTCATTGCCAAAGGTCAGTGACCTTCCGGCTCTGATTTCGCTCAGTTTTGCAGCGAAGAAACTGAGGCTAATGCGCGTGCTCTCTGATCGGCGACGGCCGCGGCCCAAATTCCCGCAGAGATGCGCCCGCCATGTGCACACCGCTGCACGCACCCCCTCCAAAATTTAATACGACAAACAAATGCACGCGTCCGACTTGTGTCGAAAATTTCACCCTCGTAGCTCGCACAGTTCCGGAGCAATAGCCCGCCAAGCGTGACTGACGCGTTACATACGGACATTTTGATTTTTATATATGTAACTAGAGGGACAGCATTACGCGCAGCGTAAAGAGGGACAGCATTACGCGCAGCGTAATAAATCAAGTTTCAATAAAATCGGCCCAGTAGCGGCAGAGTTATTGCCAGAATAAATTTGGCGTCTCCTCCTGGCCGGCGGTGCTCTGTTCCGGTATCCATTGCCAAAGGTCAGTGACCTTCCGGCTCTGATTTCGCTCAGTTTTGAAAGCGAAGAAACTGAGCCTACGGCACGTGCTCTCTGCCCGGCGCCGGCCGCGGCCCAAAATGCTGCAAAGATGCGCCCGCCACGTGCACACTGCTGCACGCACCCCCTCGAAAAGTTGATACGACAAACAGATACACGCGTCCGACTTGTGTCGAAAATTTCACCCCCGTAGCTCGCACAGTTCCACAGCAATAGCCCGCCAAGCGTGACTGACGCGTCACATACATACATACATACATACATACATACGGACGTTTTGATTTTTATATATGTAAACTAGAGGGACAGCATTACGCGCAGCGTAATAAATCAATTTTCATTAAAATCGGCCCAGTAGCGGCCGAGTTATGGCCAGAATAAATTTGGCGTCTCCTCCTGGCCGGCGGTGCCCTGTTCAGGGACGTAGCCAAGGGGGGGGGGGCGGAGGGGGCGCCCGCCCCT